TTACTAGCTTCCATCCATTTAATAAATATAACTTCTTTTTTTGTCCAAAATTCTTAATATAGCTTAACACCAGAAAATTGCTTTTCAACTTGGCTCTTAGTGTTCTCTATTATCTTATTCATTTCGTTTCTTCCATCCACTACTTTTTACTATACCTATCACGGGGATGAGACATATTCTCAAGAATTAAAAGATCAAAAATAATTTGTTTTCAAACTAACAGTAACCAAAAAAGTTAGAAAACTCTGTTATATAGCAGAAATAGCTGTAAAAAACCCCAAATATAAATCTACAAATTCCAGCCATTAGTTCCGAATCTTCCAAGTCATTTTCTTTTTTAACTTCTTGTATATATAAAATCTGTTTTATCTTTCTCAAAAGGTGCAAAGGTAATAGAATGGGGAAACAACAAGACTGGTCTGTGACTGCTTGTGTTTTCCTATTCTTGTCCTTGGCATCAAACATCCATGGTACGAGGGAAACGTTTTCACACAAAACATTTCCACACATCTATGGTTCGTCAGGTGTAGGCCATATCAATGCAATTCGTCGCGTTAGTGTACCTTTGCTCGAAACAACAAAAGGCGGTATCAACCAACAAAATATAAAGGAAAAAGATCTAATTAAACAATTGCCCGGACAACCTCCCGTTAGTTTCAAACAATATGGTGGTTATGTGGCCATAAACGAAACAAATGGTCGGTTCTTTTACTATTATTTCGTGGAAGCCATCAAAACCAATAGTTCTTCTCCTCTTGTCATTTGGCTCAACGGAGGTATATATACTTCCGTATAAACTCTTTTTAAGTAGTCAAATTAGTTATATGATCCAAATTAGACTATTAAAAAAGTCGTTTTCTTATTATCCTCACATTACATAAAGATGATCTTTAATTAAATTTATAACTTTCTAGCACCTAGTCCTAATGAGAACTAGACAAGTTAAAGGCTGATGATCTTTGTCCACTAAAATCAAAATATTAAAAAATTGTAGGACCTGGATGTTCCTCTTTAGTAGGAGCATACACAGAGCACGGACCCTTTCGCATACACAGTGACGGCAAAACATTGTATCGCAATTCTTATTCATGGAATAACGGTATAATGTTTTATATTTTTTGTTTAGAATATTTGTTTTACATGTATTACGTTTAATCATATTCATAAGTATGTGATTACCTGTGGATTTGCAGAGGCAAACGTGTTATACTTAGAGTCACCGGCCGAAGTAGGATTTTCGTACACGAATACTCCGTCAGATTTGGAAAACCTAGGAGACAAGAAGACAGCAGAGGATAACTATGTGTTCTTGGTGAAGTGGCTTGAGAGGTTTCCAGAATATAAAAAAAAAGATTTTTACATCGCAGGTGAGAGTTACGCTGGCCATTATTGTCTCCAACTTGCCCAAATGATCGTACACAATAGAAACCAGACATTCATAAATTTACGAGGCGTTTTAGTTGGTAATCCGGCACTCGACGAAAAGGTAGAGAAGAATGGTCATTACGAATATCTTTTGAATCATGCTTTGATCTCCAAAGAATATTTTGACAACTACAATAAAATGTGCGTAAATATGACCTGGAGTGATAAGGCAATAATCGATTGCAGTGGTGCCATAGATAATATCGATGATCAAACAAAACACCTGGATATGTACAACATATACGCTCCCCGTTGTTTAAACTCCACGTTGACAAGTAAACCAAAGAAACACACCACAATTACGAAGTTTGATCCATGCAATCTTGAATACATGACGGCTTATCTTAACCAAGCAAAGGTTCAAGAAGCAATGCACGCAAACACAACGAAACTACCGTATGCGTGGAAGCTTTGCAGCGACTCATCAGATAGTTGGATTGAAAAGGATAAATTAGGCTCACTGATTCCTACCCTAAAAGAGCTAATTAGTGAAGGTGTTCGAGTTTGGTTGTACAATGGAGACTTAGATGCAACTGTTCCACATACATCTACAATGGACGTGTTACAGAGTATGAATCTAACGGTTGATAAGATATGGCGTACGTGGTTTAGCGAAGGAGAAGTGGGAGGATACACAGAGAAATACAAAGAGAAAATTACGTATGCAACTGTGAGAGGAGCTGGTCATATGGTGCCTACCGACCAACCTATACGTGCTTTTACTCTCTTTACTAGCTTTATACGTAACAATCCTCTACCTGATACCATCTAATTGGTAACATATTACGTGTATGTAATTGATAACACGTTTTGGTCTTCTCAATTTATATAAGAATGCGATAATTTATATTGAAAAACTTGAACATTTATGGAAATATGTGCAACGCATTTATGAGAGTGATT